ATTCGTTAAGTTAATATAGTATTAATCAAATTCTTCATATTAAATCTCTAATCAAAAATTTCGTGAGAAAACATTTTTTGATTGAGGAAAAAATTCAAGCATCGAAGTTTTCAAAAAGTTAAATGAGTTCTCACAAATTTGTGTGAATTTCTTATTTTATTCCTTTTTCTAGAAGCTAATATACAGTTGTGTTTGACCATTTAAAGTTATAAAATTTGTAATTTTAAAGTCTCATCACACTTTTCAATGCTCGATTTTTAAAAACTGTTTAAAAATGGAGCTTATATTGAAATAGTGTAGAGACTAAAAATTACCACAGACTATTTCAGAGGATTGAGTTGCCACTCAATCCTCTGAAAAGTCTGAGGTAATTTGCAAAATTTGAGAACCAAAATATGATAACTAATCTAAATCGCACTCATTCAAAGCTGCATATCGCGATTTCAATGTTAATAATTATGACAATAACAAATTTCATTATCCGCGTTCAAACTGCATTGATTCGTCTTGATATTGAATTATTTTCTACTTACAGTGAAATCAAGCTCTCTAAAAAAGTATTTTCTTTCTTTCCAGATTTTGAGATCATATGCAAATACAACGAAACATTCAACCCTCCTAAAACAAAAATGTTGCTTTTATATGAGAATGATACAACGCTAAACACGTTCGCTAATAACGGTTTCTTACCTCAAACACCAGAGTATAATGACATTCAACATTTTCATTCAACTGTTATTCATGGGAGAAATATGTTTGTATCAGGTGACAACGCAATATGTACTCTTAAATATTATTATGACATAGGAGACAGAAACAATTTGACTGTTTCACCTTTTTTTAATGGAACCATAGTTGGGGAGTATGAAAGTGTTGTTGCTATAGGGCATTTATATACTGCAATATATGGGCATTTTATCAATGAAATAATGGCTCCTTCACAATTAATCCCTGCTGAAATTAGGAAAAAATCGTATATTGTTGTTCAAGGAAACAGAAGCATGTGTGAAGAATTAGTCAGAGTACTTGATTTTGAGGATCGAATTATATACTTAACCTGTGATCAATTTGTATTTTGTCGTGATCTTTATACAGTTTGCGATCCAAGAACTCATGGTGGTTATTATGGCCCTTGTTTAGGAAATTTGTCAATTGTAGTAAGGAAGTATTTTAATTTAACTAAAATCCAGCCCTTATATGTAGGATTGCACAAAAGAAGAGGTCCTACACGTGTGATTGCTAATTTGAACGAAATTATTAATTTTTCAAAAAATCTTAATGAATCAATACAATTTATGTATGTTCCAGATATTACAAACACTACGCTTGAAATTGCAAAAATCCATGCATCTTTAAGAGTGTTGGTTGGATCTACAGGAAGCAATCTAATTCGAAGTATTTATATGCATCCATTTACTTGTGTCGTTCAAATCTGTCCTCCTAGTTTTAATTTTGCTGTCACCGTTCAAGAAATTGTATGCAACCTTTATTCAATAGTAGTTACAGAACCTAAATTTTCTTTTAGAGAAAAATCTCCTCAATATATTAATATCACCAAAACATATAAAGCTATAAATATTGCACTATATGTTACGGAACATCACGAATGGCCAAATATTTCGGAATTTCATTTATTAAAGTAGAAGTAGTGTGTCGAAAATATGAGGATTCGAGATTGTTTTTACGTAATTTATAAATACCATCGTATATATTTGAGATTTGTGGTGTCTTTTTTACTATATTACAAAAAATCTATATTAATTTCACTTTTTAATATATGTTATATAGCTAGGGTTGTTAAAAATATCAAAAATTAGCGTTTTGAAGACACCATGGTGTCTTATAATTTTCCCTTCCTTATTGGCGTGTAGAAATAAATGCGCCAATAGATTGAAGAAGAAGAATTGTTTTTCTCTTAATGAACTTTAATCCTTTTGATATAAGAATATTAAAAACATTAATATAATTTCGATTTCGGAAATTAAATTTCCAAATTTTTTGTCGATTTCGGAAATAACAGGATCCCGCATCCAACACACAACAACAAAACACAAAACACACTTTTTGGTTCTTTCATCGTTTTAATCGTAATTTATGTAATACATGATTTGGATAAATTTTACAATAATAGAACCTATATTATATTCTTTTCAAAGATTCTTGCAAATCATCAAAAATAATTGTATTTTAAAAAACGATCAAATTATCCTTTCATTATTTTAAACTTAAATTAGTTTTTATGATTGACTAAAGCAATCATATTTATTCATCATTAAATAAACAAAAAAATAATATTTGAGAGTTATTTCAAAAAAAAACACATGAGTGGGGGACAAACTCGCCCATCGTCACTTTTTATTAACCTTAAACTTGTAATTTTCATTATTTTTAATTAACCTTATTTCTTTCCCAATTCCTGATTTATTTTATTCACTTACTATTAAAAGTCACATTTTAATAAAATATAATAATTTATTTATAGCATTTTTTACTATACTGTAATAAAAAATTAATTATAATAAATTAAATGTTTATTAAATCAAATGTTTTCTTTGCAATAATATTTTTAATGTTGAGTAAACAATGTTGGGATCAAGTGTATCATTTTTCAGACCTTTCTGAACAGCTTCAAGCATACTGATGCATTCGACTTTTTTAAATTGTGTCATTTCTTCGAAATCTCTTGTGACTTTTTTGATAACTTTAACACTTCTCTCTGAATCCAGACCTTTAATTTGCAACTTAATCAGGAATGAAGGAACAACACTGGAATATAACTCGATGACAAGTTCATCGAGTCAAAGATTTCGCCTTTCTGGGAAGTACTGGTGCTTCAAAACCTTGAAATGTGATTCTGAGATGTTGTTTGTTCCATCTCCTTCATTTCTATAGCGAAGCATCCACCTGTCAAGATGATGGCGCCACTGTCGGTCAAAGTATTCACGGGCAGCAGGTTCCTCATTTAAAATTTCTTCTAAATTGTTGTAAACTTCATCAGGATCAATTTCTTCCTCTTCAGAACCAAAGACCAATAACTTCATTAAGTTATAGAAAGTTTCGAAGTTGGAACGATCTTGAAACTTTTCAGCCTTTCTCATGACAGCGCGCAACACATGAACGCCACACCAAATGATCTGGCATAAGGGGATGGCTGTTTCAACAGCATTTGTGATTTGAGGTGCGCAGTCCATTGAAAAATAAGATGGTTCGCGATTGATGGAGCCAAAATATGCTGTGAGACAAACTTGTATATTTTCACTTGTGTCGGGCCAAACGAAAAAATACAAAAACGGAAAAACAATTGATTCCGCGAATTTGCCAGTGACGGCATAAAATGGTATGCGAGAGCGCAAGAGCTTATAAGTGGAATCAATGTGATAAGTTTGTATTTGATGTGAAAAAGCATTTGCTTCGAATGGGGCGTAATAGAAAATCATACGATCTGGCTCGTGAATAAACTCGATGAGATCATCCGGAGAATGACTCTTAACCATGTCGACAAAAATTGCAAGAGATGTAACATCATCCGCTGAGAAACTGGTATTGATTGCATGAAGGCGTTTAGAAAACTTTTTTAAAGCATCTGTAGATTGTTGAAACATTTCCGGAATGATCCCACTATCAAATGGGATATTAAGATCTTTGAAACACCTTAATTGTGCGTAAACACGGTCTTGATTTGATTCAAAATATCTTGTTAAATAAGATCTAAAAAATATGATGTAATTTGTTGTGATTTGTTTGGAAAAGGGGCAGAATGATTGTGGGTGTTAATACATTTTCGTATGTGGTACTTGTCATCGGGAAGTGTATCAACAAGGAAGCGACATGGACAATTCGGCCACTTACAATTAAATTGGATTTGATTTCTTTCTTTCCTAGTTTTATATGAATAACTACAACCTGCTTGGATTTCTTGTTGCACTCCATACTTAAGCAACTCGATATATGTGAGTTCGTGATCTTGGATCTGCATTAAAATGAAATGATTTGAAAGAATAAAGAATTTTGAATATATTGGTCTTATTTTGATAAGCTTGGTCGTGTTTTGAATAGCTTGGCCATCTAATTCAATTATGATCTTTGAAAATTAGGTGAAATAAAACTAAACATAAATGTAAAACTAGGGATATGAAATTTTGGTTGTACACCACTTGTATGTGCCGGATACCATTGTGTCAAATTTTTTCTGAAATTAACTTTAAAAGTACTAAGTAAGATCATGAGATATAGCAATATATGTTTAAACTGTTGTAAACAGAAATTCATCAAAAGTGACACCTCAGAAAAGCTAAAATATTGAATTTTTGGAACTTTTGATAGAGCACGTTTTTAAATATGAGTGTGGTAGAATTTACGAAAAAGTGACACTAGAAAAGTGACACTTAACCTTAAATTTCCAAACACTATTTTTTGATTGTATTTTGTTATTTATATATTTATATATGTATATTTATATATGTATATTATATATGTATATTTATATATGTATATTTATATATGTATATTTATATATGTATATTTATATATGTATATTTATATATGTATATTTATATATGTATATTTATATATGTATATTTATATATGTATATTTATATATGTATATTTATATATGTATATTTATATATGTATATTTATATATGTATATTTATATATGTATATTTATATATGTATATTTATATATGTATATTTATATATGTATATTTATATATGTATATTTATATAGAGTAGGTGTCAAAAGTGCTTACTCTTAAACAACCGTCGGATTTCCGGGTGAAATCGTGACACACTTTCGTCTTTCGTAGGCAGTGGTGGTTGTTACAAAAGGTAACTTCGAATGTAGCGTGAAATCTGCAAAAAAAATTCTGAAATTTGAATGGAGAACACAAAAATTGAATAGTTTACGTCAATAAAAAGGAGAAAAATGAAGCCAATGTGTCTCGAACCTAGGACTTAGAGCAGCAATCCCACTGTTTATCCCATTACACTACATGCATCTCTCACCTCAGTCAATGAGATCAACTATATGATAACTTTTTCCCCATTATATTCTTGTGGAAAAGTGACAAATAGCAACTTTGACCCTCTCTCTATTTATATATGTATATTTATATATGTATATTTATATATGTATATTTATATATGTATATTTATATATGTATATTTATATATGTATATTTATATATGTATATTTATATATGTATATTTATATATGTATATTTATATATGTATATTTATATATGTATATTTATATATGTATATTTATATATGTATATTTATATATGTATGAGTGGGGGACAAACTCGCCCATTGTCACTTTTTCATTAACCTTAAACTTGTAATTTTCATTATTTTTAATTAACCTTATTTCTTTCCCAATTCCTGATTTATTTTATTCACTTACTATTAAAAGTCACATTTTAATAAAATATAATAATTTATTTATAGCATTTTTTACTATACTGTAATAAAAAATTAATTATAATAAATTAAATGTTTATTAAATCAAATGTTTTCTTTGCAATAATATTTTTAATGTTGAGTAAACAATGTTGGGATCAAGTGTATCATTTTTCAGACCTTTCTGAACAGCTTCAAGCATACTGATGCATTCGACTTTTTTAAATTGTGTCATTTCTTCGAAATCTCTTGTGACTTTTTTGATAACTTTAACACTTCTCTCTGAATCCAGACCTTTAATTTGCAACTTAATCAGGAATGAAGGAACAACACTGGAATATAACTCGATGACAAGTTCATCGAGTCGAAGATTTGGTTGTACACCACTTGTATGTGCCGGATACCATTGTGTCAAATTTTTTCTGAAATTAACTTTAAAAGTACTAAGTAAGATCATGAGATATAGCAATATATGTTTAAACCAACTTATATTTTGGTTGTACACCACTTGTATGTGCCGGATACCATTGTGTCAAATTTTTTCTGAAATTAACTTTAAAAGTACTAAGTAAGATCATGAGATATAGCAATATATGTTTAAACCAACTTATATTTTGGTTGTACACCACTTGTATGTGCCGGATACCATTGTGTCAAATTTTTTCTGAAATTAACTTTAAAAGTACTAAGTAAGATCATGAGATATAGCAATATATGTTTAAACCAACTACTTATATTTTGGTTGTACACCATTGTATGTGCCGGATACCATTGTGTCAAATTTTTTCTGAAATTAACTTTAAAAGTACTAAGTAAGATCATGAGATATAGCAATATATGTTTAAACCAACTTATATTTTGGTTGTACACCACTTGTATGTGCCGGATACCATTGTGTCAAATTTTTTCTGAAATTAACTTTAAAAGTACTAAGTAAGATCATTTATTTTTGCATAATATAATGCCAATATGGTTTCTTTTATTTCATTTATAAGCAAATCAGATTTACCCAAAAACTCCACTCCATAAGCGTTCATTTGCTAAATTAAAAAGTGACAATGGGCTAGTCTGTCCCTTTCTCATATATGTATATTTATATATGTATATTTATTTATATATGTATATATTTATATATGTATATTTATATATGTATATTTATATATTATATTTATATATGTATATTTATATATGTATATTATATATGTATATTTATATATGTATATTTTATATATGTATATTTATATATGTATATTTATATATGTATATTATATATGTATATTATATATGTATATTTATATATGTATATTTATATATGTATATTTATATATGTATATTTATATATGTATATTTATATATGTATATTTATATATGTATATTTATATATGTATATTTATATATGTATATTTATATATGTATATTTATATATGTATATTTATATATGTATATTTATATATGTATATTTATATATGTATATTTATATATGTATATTTGTTGCATGCTAAGTTCGGTCAACGATAGGAATTGAGGGGAAATTAATCGTCGAGGAAGTACGATTATGTAAAGTAAAAAATGTTGTGGGATTTTTAATATTGTATATAATTTTATAATAAAATTTTTGTGAGACATTTTAAGAAGCACATATAATTTTTTGAATTTAAAAATTAAAGTAGTGTTGAATGAATTTATTGATTAATTTAATACGGATATTAAAAAAAAAAAAAAAAAAAAAAGGGAGTGGGGCTTCCAGGCACTTCGTGCCTTCTAGCCCTAAGAATTTTTCCCAAGACCCAAGAGGAGGACCGAACCCCAGCCGACCAGCCGTTGATTTTTTTGTCAAGACTTCATCGTATATGATTTGTCAAGACTTCTTCGTAAATGTTTTGTCAAGACTTCTTCGTAAATGTTTTGTCATGATTTCATTGTATATGTTTTGTCAAGACTTCTTCGTAATGAGCGTAAATGACCCAAAAATAATGTTTATGTTAGAATGTTAGATCTAACCTCTTTTCTAACCTCTTTTCTAACCTCATGAATTTGTCAAGACTTCTTCGTAAATGTTTTGTCAAGACTTCTTCGTAATGAGCGTAAATGACCCAAAAATAATGTTTATGTTAGAATGTTAGATCTAACACGTTTTCTAACATGTTTTCTAACATCGTAGAAAACTCATGATTTCATCGTAAATGTTTTGTCAAGACTTCTTCATCGTAAATGTTTTTTACTTCACTTAAAATGCCACGTAAGCTACGTAAGAATATACGTAAGAGGAAGGGAGCATTGAAACATCCAATAGTAAAACTGACACCACAACAACAGTTGCAACAACAAATTATGAATGACCCCACTATGTTGCAACAAATGTCAAGCAACCCTATGCTTTTAAACCGAGTTATAGGTGCACAGAGTGGAGGTTTAAGAGCGGCACTTTTAGCGAAAATGGCAGCTATGGTGGAGCTGCAGACGGAACAGCTTATAACCCTCAAAGTCAAATGAATTTGAGTTCACTCAAAAATCAAATAACAGATGTCAAAAAGTCAAACATAGACATACAGAACAAATAAGTGAAAACGAAAAGAAACTAGAATATGACAGACACACAAAGAAACTCAATGAGTTAAACGTAGAGAAAAAGAAGAAAGAAGAACAACTGAAAGAACTAAGTACAGAGGAATATGCGAAAAAAGTGTCAGAAAAAGCAGCAGAAGTAGCAAAAATGGAACAAGATGTTATAAATTTGAAAAACCATACTACTCAATATAAAGTACTGAAAGATGAAGAAATAAAACAAAAAGCCTGAAGACATATATGGATAGCGATGAGTATAAAAAAGAAGTTGAAGCAAATGTAAAGGCAGAAAAACTTTTACAGTTGCAAAACCAAACCGTACAGTATGAAAACTTAGCACAAGAAAGTAAAAATAACGACGCAGCCATGCAAAAGGCAATGAAAAGCGCAGAATATATAAAAGCTAATAATGACTGGTTAGATGCCCAAGCCAACGCTAAAGCAGCCCAACTCATAGGGTCAATAAGGACAAAAATACAAGCGGATGAAGATAGTTCAAATGAAGCTTTAACAAATGCTGACTTTAAGAACGCTTTCGAAGCTCTTCATAGTAAGTGAAACAAGTGAACGACTTCTCATCTGGAAAGAAACTGAAGTCTGAAGGTTTCGACAAAGAGTTAAAAGAAGTAGCACAAAATATGACGAAAATAACAGATGCAGCAACGAGACAGGCAGTTCAAAGTGCCTATGACGCCGTTAGAGCAACTGTTGTGAAAAGTCAAGAAAAAGAGTTACAACAGACCAAAACAGACCTAGTAAATGCTTTCTTAAAAACGAAAAGTCAGGTAGGACATTATGCTGCAGATGGAACATATGTGCCAGCTGGTGAACTTATATACCACCAAACCCTCCAAGAGAAGCACCTGCACCAGGACTACCTAAAACATTTACATCGTCACATGGACACAGACACAGGCATGCACCAAAACCAACAGTTCAAAATCCAGCACAACAACCAACACAACCACCTCCACAACAACCAACACAACAACCAGCACAACAACCAACACAACAACCAGCACAGCAACCAACAGTTCAAAACCCTGCACAACAACAACCACAAACAGAGCAAGGACATAAAAGAAGTAGAGAACAAGGAAACCAAGAATTCTTAAAAATGCTTAAAGAAGAGTGTGGTTTCCCAGATACTATTGACTTTAGTGACAGATATAAAGAAGCTATTAGAAAGTTCAAGGATGGAAATACTGACCCGGACCTATTTAGCTTTATGGCTCAGCACCAAAACGGATATAATCTCAAACCTGGAAAATACAAGCTCGCTAAGGGATATGATTTAATAGCATATCATCCAAATGACATGAACGAATTTACTCCGAGATATTTGATGTCAGAGCTAAATGACAATTCAACTTTCGTCATGAAACGCGTAAAAAATAGAGACGGAACGAAAGAACAAAAGCTTATGAATGCGGATGACGTAGATAGGGAAATTGTTGAAAACGGTCTCGGAATATATGAAATGCCAGCAGATGAGGTACAAGAAACTCCACAGGAAGAAGTTCAGATACAACCAGACATGGAAGAAATAGTTCAGCAACAACAGCTAGAAGAGCTTGAAGGAAACGAACAAGTCCTTCCTTTGGAAACTAACTTCACAGAACTAGATGAAGATTTGGAACAGCCGAAAAATCTTGACCCTCAACAAGAGTATGCGGAGAATATGGAATATTTCCAAGAGTCTAAAAAAAATTCGGCTGACATAGTAGAAGAATATCGAAAAATGTTTGCCGACATACAAAAGACTCCAACACCAGATGAAAATATTCAGCATAGAATGGAAGAACTGAAAAAAAATGTACACAAATACAACAACCCTTTTTACTTACGAGCATTTAACGTTCAATCTTCGGATGAACTCGGTGAAAATAAAAGGTTAAATTTCAAGAAAACATATAGAAATGAAACATTGTTTAAAGTTCATTCAGAACCTAACCAAGATGGAAACAAACCTACTTTTGTTTCTGCAGACGATGGAACTACAATGAGATGGGGTCATAAAGCTAACCCGGATAGGTGGTTCATAAACTTACAACCACAATTCCAAGAAGTTGTAGACGCAATGGAAGTCAATGGTGAACCAGATATAGCTGGTATTTTCAGCGCGGCTTTAATGCCATTGAAAGATATGAAACATGCAGATATTTTGGACCAGTATGAAATGAACATGGCTGATGGAAATATAACACCTGACGTTCTAGAACATTTATCTCAAAAAGAACTACACAGAACCATAGAGATGGTATATTTGGTGAAGAGTTTAGAAAGAAAGTTAGGGAGGGAGAAGGAAGAGAACCTATTGTACATGACCTTGCAAATGAAAGTTTACAAAATGTCATAAAAACTTACTTTGCAGACAATGAACTGAGAAGGGATGAATATTTAAGAAAACTCAAATGGACAGTACCAAATGAAATGTTAGTATTGAAAAACATGTTCCTTGACAAAATAAAAACCAACTACAGAAATAAACGACGCAAGACTGAAAGATTGGGTAAAAGCTTTCCCATTCATAAAAGATATAGTTGTAACATGGAAAGAAAACCAGAAATGGCTACAAAAACATATATTTGGAAACGAGCATATTCCATATGGACAGGCACTGTTTGAAGAGCTTGAACCGGAAACTCAGGACAGAGTCATGCAAACAATAAGCGACGACTCAAATACAAACTATGACAAACTCTTTCTAGGATATAGGTTACCTGAGATGGGCGACCAGAGCCAAAAGGCAAAGGGCATGGAAATTTGCAACATACTAGATGAACATAATGCAAAGATGCAACAACTTCAAGCAGAGGGCAATGAAGGAAAAAGAAGAGTTAAAAACTCAGTCAGGAAGAAAGTAAAGCTTGGTCCACGTGGGTTCTATTATGACATATAAATCCAACTATTCTATATTTTTACTCATATGAAATGTACGCCGCTCAGAATATAACGCCAACAGTTTTGGATGCTATGAATGAAATGTTTCCGAATGTATAACGAATGCGACAATGCCATTAGAAGGTCAGAAATAGTTCCTGGAACTTACGAATATACAACTGCTGTTTCTTAATGGAAACGTAGGTGAGTTTGGAAGAAGGTTCTTCAACAACAGTAGATATTGGCTTGCGACAGGTTTTCATATAATTTCTATTGACAACTCTTTCTTATACGTGGAACAAGACATTGAAATAAACCTTCTGCCAAGTTGTCTGACAAGAAAGGTTGCAATGGAATTTTCTATGTCGGATACCAATATGCTCCAGAAGTTTTCATGGGATATAAGATATATTCTAACTCTGACTTAGTTTCAAACAGTAACATGGGCAAACTATGAATGGTTCGCTTTGAGAAACTCAGTACAACCACAAGCTAGAGAACAAACAGACCAGTATGCAACTATTGAGAAAATAAGAAGACTTGACCCTAACGTTCCAGGAGTTTATGTTAACCTTTCTGGACAAACTGCAGCAGCAGTAACCAAAGTAAAACTGAAACTTAGAGTTCCTTTGTCATCTTTCCTCATCTTCAGGTTTTTAAGTACTTGCCAAACTGGGCAGGAAAAAATTTCTATCGAACTTACTCCAAGCAAAAAATAACTTAGTCATTGCACCAACACAAGACCCATTCACTCTTACAGAAGTAGTGGGAACAAATAAAATGTCATTCGCCGACTTTTGCAAAAAACAAAGTTGACTTAGACTTTGGTTCTCAAAACCTCAACACTGAAGTAAACTATTATTTCAATGCTGCTGGAGATGCTTGGACCCAGTTAAGTTACATGCGAAAAGTTTGAATGCAAGAGAATAGAAAGCAGACTTGCAGTCTATATGTTGGACCCAGATATTTCAAATGCTTTAGCTGCCAAATATATTGCAGTTCCACTTATGTTCCCTATACACCAAATATCTGTCAAAGACTTTGCAGGTGAAGTTGGAAACCAAAGTGCTGACCCAGGTGCAAGAACAGATATTGCCTTAACAACTGCAATGAAACATGCAGATACTATGTTTGTACTGTTCAGACGAACTATAAATGACTATTCTTGTTTCTACAACCCTGGTATTAAATATCATATAAACATAGATGGCAAATATTATCCAAGAGAAGAATATTCTACAGTTGAGGATATGAGTCATACAACTTGACATTAGATGCTATGAACTTTAACAACAACTTCACAACAACCATTAACCCTGAAATGCAAAGTTCTATTATGCCATATGTGAAAGTATGGACTCATACAGGAGGTCAAAAAACTCAATATACAAATGGAGACCGTTCAAACTTTTGGCTTGGCATTCCATTTGCTGACTCAGAAGACTTTATGGGTGGTATTTCAACTGTTGGTACTGTACAAATACAATATACTGGTGACAGAGACGGTCCAGATGAACTGAGAGCAAAGAAGTTTACAAAACCAATAGCACTTTTCACGGAAGATGCTCTTTTGAGATTCGTTCGATGAAACCTGCTGGGGCTCCTCAGATTGGCATAACGACAGCTTCCATCGAGCAGATTTTGGCAGCAGGTCAGTAAGTTGTTCTTGAACTGACTTCTCTCCGTCAAATATTGACAGTACGCCAGTTTTGACATAAAATTGTATTATAAACTACCTTTAGAAATATCTGTAAGTTTTGTTGTTATATTTTTGTCAACGTCAAGAACTTTCACCATTTCAGTTATACCAACTTTCTTTGCTTTATGGAAATATTTTGGTTCAGCAAATATTGCTATTCTATAACATTTACCAATTGTTTGTATAAAGAACTATTCTGTCAATGTATTTGTATTGTTTGTGTGTGTAAACTTTGTTCTGCTTCAATTCAATAAGATATCCGAATACGTCCATCTTTTTATTCTAAGTAAAATGTCATTTCCGAAAAATAGAAGCGTAAGTGTTTCAAAAGGTTTAATGGCGGTGGCAGATGTGAAGTTAAATTCACCAACTCAAACAAACAGTCAAAGTGTTGTTGTCAATGTCAAAGACAGAGATGTTGAAGTGGGGAAACCATACGAGGACGAAGATGGTATAACAATTGTTCCTGTAAAAGAACAACCAACATATCCTGAAGTAGCAGAGACTTAAGTTCTGTTGCAGATATTCGAAACGACTACCAACAACTGAAAGACAAACTTCAAACTCAGGAGAAGATTTGTCAAGCTTTAAGTATATGTTAAACTTGGTCGAACACAACCCTGTAAAAGTGAACTCATATGTCATTGCACCTCATGAAGTTTTGAAAGAACTATTGAAACTTTTGACAGAGGCAGACGATATAAACATCAAAGAAATAGAACCCGACGTTAGTTGCTGTGGTGTTTCATATAATGTCATTGACAAGATATACGTTATGAAAGGAGGTGAAACGTTGAACTTAAAGTATAGTTTCCCAGACGTCATAAAAATATTTGACGACCACAACATTTCATTAAAATTTATTTGCTAAGTAAAAATGTCAAAACTTCTTGAAAGATGTTTGAAGAAATAATATAGACTTTATTTCATGTAAAGGACTTTACACACTTTTGAACGATATGAAAGACCCTGTTTTGTTTGTTCGTGTAGACAAAGGAAAGTTCTATGTCTTTACAAAATATTTGAACTTCTTAGACAGAGAACTTCAAGAAACGCCATGTGAAAGTTTAGATGAAGTTCTTCTCCACTTTCAGAAAAACTTTTAAATATATATAAATGGCAGAAGATATAATGGTTTAATACTATTACGACTAAAAACCCTGAGTCATATAATTCTATAACAACAAACTTACAAAGTCCTCAAGGACGATATTGTAAACTAACCTTAAACACAATGACGACTAAAGCCTGTTTTGCTCTTTTGACACCAGAAGATTTTATTGTTGTGAATGGTAAAAAATACTCCTTTGAAGATACTTACTCAGATATACCACCAACAGGTTTTGTTGACTTATTTAATACTTTAAGGACGGATGTAACATGTGCTGCAACTAGAGCAGGTTTCATTATGTTTGGATGTCCGACTGAGTTTACTATAAACAATATGAGCTATAATACAAAACTTATTTCTGGTTTTTACTACCAACAATTTCCTATAACAGGAAAAGGTGTCATACAAGGAATGTCTATTCC